GCGCCCCGCCGCCTCCCCCCCCCGCTCTGAGCGCTCCCCCGCGGCTCGAGCGCCCGCCCAGTGCCCCCTCCGCCCCGACAACCCCCCCCCATCCTCCGCCCCCTCCCCCACACGTCTCAGCGCCCCCCACGGCTCCAGCGCTCGCCCAGCGCCCCCTCCGCCCCGCCCACTTTATTTCGGCGCCGCAGCCCCTCCCTGCGCCGCCCCTTCCCGGACACCGTCTCAGCGCCCCCGCGGTTCCAGCGCCCGTCCAGTGCCCCGCGGCCCCAGTGCTTGGGAGACGGCGCCAAGGAGTGCAAGGGCGCGACGACTGCCTTGCCCCCCCGCCTCAGCCGTTACGCGATGGCACCGGGCACCACCGCCCTGGTCCGCATCGCCAACGTCCAGGTCGGCAGCGACGCCGTCGCCGCCGACCTCCCCCTCAGTTCTCCCCCTTTCGCCCTCCCTGCCCGTGCCCTCTTACCTCCCGCGCCGCCGCCGACGCCGTCGCCGCCGTCGCCGGCCCTCTCACCACCCCCGCTCAGCCCTGCCCCTTTCGCCCTCCCTACCCGTTCCCTCTCTCTTCCCGCGACGCCGCCGATGCCGTCGCCGCCGTCGCCGCCGACGCCGCCGCCGTCGTCGCCGTCGTCGTCGCCGCCGCCGCCCCGGGCCGAAAGTCTGGTCTGTGGGGGAGGCCCCCATTCAAGTGGCGCATAGCCGGCCCCGAGAATACACCCGACAGACTCTGCGTGCAAAGCGACTGCCTTGGACAAGCGTTCGCAACACAAGGCCGCCGCGCACTTTGCACCGCGAGCCCCCAGCAGCTGAGTCCGCTCAGTAATTTCTTCCAGCCCTCCTTGGACCCTGGAGGCCTCCCCTTGGAACCCTCTGTAGGCTTCTCGGGCGTCAGTTGGAGGCTTCCTGGGAACCCGTCGAAGGTCTTTGAAGCCATCTTGCGGGGGACGGCCCTTGGAGTCTCCTCGCGCTCGCCCTCTGGAGCCCCTCTTGCGGCCCTGTTTTGTTCACTCCTTCTGCGATGTCTGGCATCCTCTCCCCCCCCCCCCTCCTCCTCCACATCCTCCTCCTCCCCCTTCCTTTTTGTGCAAGAGCCATGGCACACGTGCCACTTGTTTTTGAGTCTTCCTCCTGTAGAGCGAAATGCCTGACTTAACGCTGGGCCCGAGGTTCCCGAACCCCGCGGTCTCGGAGTCGCCGAGGAACTCGAGCCTCCGCGCGGGGCCCGCGCGGGGCGGCGGCTCCCTCAGGGCCGCTGGCCCCTCCTCCAGCAGCAGGCCATGGACCACCACGGGCCTGGTGCCCAGCCCGGCCAGGGAGCCGCACGGGGTGCCGATGTTGGCCTCGGTTCATGTTGTTCCCATCGTAACTACTTTAGGAACGCATCCCCAAATGAATTTCGAGCGCCCAGAAAAAGTATCGAAACAGTGTCGAACGAGTATCGCCTGCGAGGGCCCGACACGTGAAAACCCTCCAATTCCGGTATTTTCCTGGTGCTCGAGGTTCAACCTGGTGAACAAGGCTGAAGCAGGTTGGAACATCATAAGCCTCGGTGCGCTTCTGGAGCTCCACCACGCGGGCCGGGCTCGTGACGAGCGCCTCCTCCTCGAAAACCTCCAGCAGGTAGTCACGGACGCCCTTCCCAGTCCTCAGCACCCCCGCCGACTCGCCGTCCACGAGGACGTTGAAGTGGTTGCGGCCGCCGTCCATGCGCAACCAGACACGCCGCGCCGACGTGGCGAAGCGCACCCGTGTCGCAGGCCAGTCGAAGCTCACCGTCCCGCGGTTGGCGTCCGCCACGACACGGCCGCAGCAGCGCAGGGCGGGCGCGGTCGCCGGCACGTGCGCGCAGCACGCTGGCGCCGCCTGCTGCCGCAGCCGCGCGCCGCCGGGCCCGCGGGACTGCCGGGCGCCCATCGGGCGCGGGCCGCGGAGCCGCTCGGAGCTGGCCCCCCATGAGGGGCCCGTTTTCCACGTCCTCCTCCTCCTCCTCCTCCTCCTCCTTCTTCTTCTCCTCCCCCTCCTCCTTCCCCCCTCCAACGTATGGTGGTTGTGGTGGTGGAAAACAGGCCCATCACCCCAGACCCCCTCGAGCCACAACGGCTCCGGGGGAGAGATGCAAGACCGTGCCCCCAGGCACAGCTTCACTGGAACCAGTGCTCCGGACTGTCTCCCTGGAGGGCCGTTTCCACGGAGACCTCTTCCCCATCTGCAAAGACCTCTTCCCCAAAAGACCGTTTCCCCGGAACCGTTTCCCCGGAACCGTTTCTCCGGAACCGCTTCCTCGCGGAGTCGCTTCCCGGGAGCCGCTTCCCCAGAACCGCTTGCCCGGATCCGTCCCTCGTGCCTGTACCCGACTCCTATATGCACACTCCTCCCGGGAACCTTTTCCCCAGAGACCGCGTCCCCAGTACCACTTCTCGAGGGAGGATGAGGGAGGAATGAGGAATGAAAGATGAGGGAAGGAGGAATGAGGGAGGTAGGAAGGGAACCTGGACTGTGGAATCGGTCCTGCGAAACCGACCCTGTGGACTAATTCTGTAAAACCGGCCCTGTTAAACCAGACTTCTCTGAACCGGGCCCTTGCTGAACCGGTCGAACCAGTCCCTGTTGAACCGGTCGTCTGTTGAACCAGTCCCTGTTGAAGCGGTCGTCTGTTGAACCGGTCTTCCGCCGGAAAAAGATCTCCACGATGGCATCGAGGATCATCCTGACACTGCCACCAGCTGGGGCCTGAAGAACACGAGAGAGGATATCTCTGCGGAGGCGGCTGGACTTGGGTGCCTCGTGGTCCCTTCTTCGGGTTTCAGCAGCAGCACGATTGCGCCGTTGGATGCGCAGCCGCCCATGCTGCCCAATCCCACCAGCCCTCTGGGCGTCGGTGGTTTAGGGCGTTTCCTCTTCCACCCCTCCCTCTTCCCCTTCGGGGAGGGGTTTACCCCTCCCCCTACCCCCTCCCCACTGACCTGGACAGGAGGGGCGGGGAGCGGTCAGAGCGTCCAAAACGGCCTCGGCGAGGAAACCAAAATCATTGTTTTTACTATGGTTTTGGCCCCATTTTGGCCTTCTGAGGGGGCAGCGCTAATTAGAGCTCCCCTCTTCTTTCATCGATTTCCTCCACGATGGCCGCAAGAGGCCCCCAGGATGCCCCAAGAGGCCCCGAGATGGCCCCAAGATGGTCCCATGTGGCCCCAAGAAGCTCCCAAGAGGCCCCCAGGATGCCCCCAAGAGGCTCCCAAGAGACCCCCACGAGGCCCCAAGAGACCCCCCAGAGGCACCCAAGACGCTCCAAGAGGCCTCGGCGAGAATGCCCAAATCACTGATTTTACTAAGGTTTTGGCCACATTTGGGCCTCCTGGGGGGGGTGGCACTGCTTCACATGACTCCAAGAGCGCCTGGGAGAGCCCAAGATGACCTCCAAGATGGCTCAAGATATCCCAAGATGCCTCAAGATGGCTCCCACGATGCTCCAAGAGGCCCCAAGACCGCTTCAGGACGGCTCCAAGTTGCCAAAGAGCTCCCCCAGGAGGCCCCGAAGAGGCCAACATCTTTCCAAAACCTTCGGAAAATCAGCATTTTGGGCTTTCTCGCCTTTTCGCTTCCGATGGTCATCCGAGGCTTCAAGATGATTCCAAGATGGCCCAAGAGGGCTCCAAGAGCGCTCTGAAGGCTCCCAAGAGCGCTTCAAGAGGGCCCCGACGCGCCCATGAGGCCCCAGGAGGCCCCAGGAGGCGCCCCAGAGGCATCCAAGAGGCCCCCAAGAGACCCCCAAGAGGCCCCAAGAAGCTCTCCAAAACACCCAAGACGCTCTAAGAGGCGTCAGGGACCGCCGAGAGGCCCCTAAGACGCTCCAGCCGGCCTCCACTGGGGTACCCTTCCTTTGTGTGCTGCCCACTTCCCTGATCGAGGCACTTCCTCTGGGCATCGTTTCTGGATGGGCTGGTGGGGTTATTTTTTTTTACAGCCGCAGGCGGAAGCGCCGGCGGCGAAGGGTCACGGTCGGGCTGCGGCCGTGACGAATTACCCGGGCGCGCGCGGGGGCCGCGGATCAGGCGGCGGTGCAAGCAGCAACCCAGGGCGTCTGAGAGGCCAGGCGGCAGTGCAAGCTGCAACCCAGGGAGTCTGAGGGGTCAGTCACCCAGGAAGCAAGGCGGACGCAGCCAAAATGGCGCGCCGCACATCCCCAGCCATGGATCGTGTCGGACAGACAATCGCATGGTGGTGGGAACCAGTCTCCGTGCAAGAAGGTGTCAGCCCAGGGTGTCTGTCGGGTATGAGCGGACTGAAGGCGTAGCTGACGTCGTCCAGCAAGGAGGGGAATTTCTGACAGCGCCAGCGAACCGTCGCAGCTTCAGAAAACGCACGCGACGGCTGACAGAGTGGACCAGAGGTCATAGACAACTGGGGCAACCTCGGAACAACTGCTGAGGGATGCGCCTGCACGCAGGAGACCAGAAATATGGTGTGCCGCAGTGCAGAAGTACACATGCACCCAACCTGGCGAGGGACACACGGTCAATCGGGAGTGGGCGTGTACCAGGAAACGACTAAGTGACAACCAGCGCCTCTCAACCCACGCAGCGCCAGGTAAGAGAAGAGCGCTCGTAGAAGACGACGCTGCCGTATACCCACAGCAGAAAGTCCTTCAAGGTCACAGAGTCCCAGGGAGTGGTCGCACAACCAGGTTGCGCGTGGGAGCGACGATGGGGAGAAGACAGAGCGCCCGTCACACGCAGGAGCGGTGCATCACTATCCACAGGGTGGCACAACACGGCCAACCGCGGTAAGCAGCAATGTATGGGAGCACGTCAGCGACCCAGTCAGAGGACGGCGCAAGCGGACCAGGTGGGCATTCCGCCAACACGGCGGGGCGACCCACGTCAAAGGACTGTCTGAACACCGCGAGACCCAAGGACGATGGGTCCGAGCCCAGGGTCGCTCCCAGGGAGGGTAGAGACGCACGGCTGAAGGCCGCAGTAACTTGGGAAGCCCAGGGAGTAGAAGAGCAGATCTGAGCATGACGGGGCGAAAACCACCACAGCGTCGGTCTCAGAGCTGCGGGCCAGGCCGAACCTGGCAGGGTGAAAACAGCTACAGCGGGGCCAGGGGCCACTATGGCCACACGCAGCACGCGATTGCAATGAGGACGGTATTGCTGGCACACGCACACACACACACACACACGCACACACACACACAAACACACACACACACACACACACACACACACACACACACACACACACACACACACACACTTGGGTCCTAAGGCAGGAAGTGCGCGTACCAGGGGGGGGGGCGGCGGGATGCCGCCAAGCGGGTCTGTCGTCGAAGGAGCAGCCGAAGGCCGCTGTTTGGTACAGAAGGATTATAAGCGCGTCTCGGGAGTGCACCTCGGTCGGTCCCGAAGCAGCATAGCCGGGCACGGGACCACTCGGGCCACAGGCGAGAACAACTACAGCGGGGCCAGGGGCCAACTAGGGTCTGCACGCTGCACCCCCCCGCGCTGCGATGCAGATGGTATTGCTGGTCGACACACTTGGGTCCAAAGGCAGGAAGTGTGTGAACCAGGGTGGGAGGCAGCAAGGCTGCCACACGGTTTGAGAGAGAACGGGAGGCAGCTGAAGGCCGCTCACAGTGTGTAGCAAGGTCGAAATATCTGTCCCTCTAGGTGGCGGGATGGGTGGGAAGGGAGGTCAGTCTCCCCATCGCTGCCTCTTTTCACCACGTTCGTCAGGCCTGCCTCCACCACGCTTGCCTCCCGTCTGCCAACTGCCGTCGTGCCAGTCAGCGCTCCAGTCACTCTGCCAGGTGCCCCAGGCGTCCCAGGAGCTCGTCGCTCGGTCGCGCCAGCTGCTCTGCTGGTGGTTGCCCTTGCCCGTGCCGTCGGGCCGTGTGCGACGCAGGTGCTCGGCCCGCACTTTTGCCCAATCGATGCGGAAGTCGAACCTCCTGTCCATCAAGTAGGCGTTGTCTCCGCAGCCCTTCCAGTCATCCAAAAACACGTTGATGGTCGCGTCCGCGTGCAGCCTCGGGTCTGGCTTGGGTTCCCTGGATCCAGGGGGCCGAATGCCTTGCGTGTAGGCGGTCCACAGAGCGCAGAATACTCCACCCAACTCCATTTGGTGTCTGGTGAGGCGTTTGGCGGGTGGCTCTCCGCGGCGCTCCAAGTCCACGGTGCCCAGCCAGGCCTCGTGCATGGGGCCCCATGTGAGTCGGTCAGCAGGTTGAGTGTGTGTCGCTCCGCTGAACGAGGGTATGTAAGCCTATGGCCAGGAACCTGTGGGTTGTGCAGTGGGGGACGACGACTCTGCGCGTCGCCCCTGTCGGGGGCGACTTCGTCGTGATCTGGCCCCCTGGCTTCACCGGCATGTTGGTCGGTGCTGGCAGGGCCACCCCAGGCAGCTATCGGGTCGCGGTCAGAGCTGGGTTCCAGGCTGTCTGCCGTTGGGCTCCGCTGAGGCGCCTTGTCGCCAGGGCCGTCGTCGTCGACCTCCGTGGCCGAGCCCGAACAGGATACAGGAGGAGGAGACTCGCGGGGGTGTCCAAAGTCGGGTGAATCCACATTTTCCATAGGAGGGATCTCGTCTTCACCGCCCTCGTCCTTGGCAGCGTGGTCGGGCAAGTCCATGTTGCCAAGACGCGTGTCGTCGTCTCTCGTACCCAGGGGTTTGTCTGCGTCGGCCGCCGTAGGGGTGTTAGGTCTGTCCTTACTCATGGTCTGCACGTGCGACTCGGCCAGGGAAGTGACGGTCGCCGAGGCCAGGGCGTCGGCGCTGAGGCTGAGTAGGAAACTCGTCAGTGTGCCCATTTCGTGTCTGACAGGGCTGAGGCCACTCGCCGGGGCGAGGATCGAGGCGTGCTTCTCCAAGGACTCCCTATGTTTCTCGCCGTTGGTGAGGTGGGGGACGACCCGTGCAGCGGCCAGCCGTTTGCCTTCCCAGG